TTTTGGAAGACATGCCTCAACGCGAAGAAGTCTCTCCGGAATCCTTACTGAAAACAGCATTCAGTCACCGACGAAAGTCATGGTTGCCCATCTCAGTCGTCTGGAAGATAGTTTTCGCTCCTTCTTTCCAGACCTCCACTTATCGAAGCTTCACTGGATTCGAAACCCGTTTCAGTGTCGACCTGAAGAGACAGGTTTACCAGGAAGAACAGCTCATTCAACTTTCCTCAGACCAGAAGTCTTCTGGCTTCGTTTTCTCAGCTGCCGGTCGCTGATTTCTGGCTCAGTGTCAGGGCAGAATACAAGGAATTGTATCCAGTAGCGCTATCAAGTGGCTCGTCTTTGCGATTTTAGTGCATAGGTCTTCGGCCTGTGCTTGGGGTCGTGAATAGTACGATCGTGATTTTTGGGGTCGCGCGAGAAAAAGGTTGGGACGCCCTGCACTAGAGGTTACAATCGCCTACTCCAAAGAGTGAATACAGCCTCGGATGGGTGTCACCCATCCTTAAGCCAAAGTGGCGGAGATTGTGAACAGGAAGCTAGGATGTAGCCTGCCCTGGAGGGAAGGAAATCAAATCTAGGTGGAGCAATGAAGAAACTCATCTGCTTGCCAAGACAGAATTGCAGCTTTCTAGAGCAACTAACATCAATGAAATTCTACGTACCATGTTCTCTCTGCGATCTTAGGGAAAAGGAAGCAAAAGGGTTATAAAGACACTCTGCATGCATTCAAAAATGTTCTTTATGAAAGAAATAACCCACTCAATTTCCTCCAGCGCCTTAAAAGAACCATTAACACATTACGTACCGGACATTTTACCCCGTAACATCGCACCTTTCCGTGAGAATCCTAATCTCCCCTCTGAAGAGAAAACCACGCCCATCCGCTATCACTCACTTTCTGCGTGTATAAACTATGACAACAGTACTATTGACACATTCATACCGCCACTATAAGGGCTTCCAGGATGTCTGGAGGTGCAGTCTTCATTTCTAAAATAGGATGATCTCCCCTCCTTTCTCAATGCATTTCATCACCCTCCCAAGCCCTAACCTTGGTCGACGCTTTTCTCCCTATGGCGATCTACCGCGCTAGTGAAAGCCTTAAGAAATTAGGAAATCTGGAATCATCAGCCAAGCGTGTTGTCGTTCAATGCGGAAGCGGCAAAGCACCCGGAAAATTGAAAATGGAAGTAATTGAGCTGCAATGTGATTATTACCTGAACAGGTTCACGTACTTGCCTCTGCTCGAGTTCTATAAACGCCTGGATAAGGTCGTTTTCCGCACCTTTCTTCGCCACGCGCGAAAGATGACTAGCTTGTTTGCATCAAGAAACATTTGCGAACAGACCTTCTCTATCATGGAATTGAACAAAGACCGGCTGTGAAGCACAATGGCTGATGCCACTCTTAGTACGTCTCGTAGATGAGCATCTGCGAGGCTGGAGTCAGACGTTCCATCCAAAGTTATGCGTTTGAAGTGCCAACTTCATGTTTCTCTGACATTTTCTCTCAATAAACCATGCCTGTTGAGGTAACATTATGAATTACCAAAAGAAAACCGAAATCAGTCTGAAGGGAAGGTTCAATGTTCATTCGGCCTGCAAGCTAGAGTTGGGGTACCCCTGGACAGGAAAGGGATAGCCTTGTGAACTTTGCGCAATGCCTACAAGGCTAAGCCTCTCAGGGCAATGGGCTTGTATGATTCATCTTGTGTATTTCGTCCAGACCTACGTGGTATCATTCCTAAGACCTTGGCATGTATAAAGAGACGAAAACCTCCCCTACTGCTGTAACTAGTTCATTTTCTCGCATTTTCCATCTAAAATTAATGACTGAACTATTTAATTATTACACCAGATAATCGCTAAAAAAAAATACCATACACATAACTTTCTGGAATTCTATTCTCAAAGCTGCTATCCTTCCTGACATCGGCGAGGGAAGTTATCCATAACTTTGCGGCACATGTCAATGGTGATGAAGTCTGGTACGAGGTTTTGCACCATACACAGAACCCGAAAAACGTAGCATCTCTAACTGATATTGACGATTCAGACAACACTCCTATCCCCCTCAAGCAACCACTAATGTCCTACATGAACCATCACGGCCATGGAGTCCTAAGCCAACTTTGAATGTCATTGACCCTCTACTTCATGTTAGCAACACCCGTCCTCATTGCTTCAAAACCACGACTCAATCTGCTTGTTCTGCGATGATAGTATTCAGCTTCCTGGTAGCATCATCCATAATGCCATCTAATTTATCGAAGTGAAATCGTCCAGAAAAACTGTCTTCGCGTCGAGCCATGTCTTTTTTAATGGAGCAAAGCTCATTCACGTAGATTCGTCAGAACCTCGATCGGTCTAATTCTTTCTTCTCGGAGGTTTCAGTAAAAGATGAAAAAGCAGACACAGCGTCTTCGAGTGTATTTATCAATTCGCAAAGTTTTGTTCCGAAGAAAGACTCGATAGACTCTCTTCGATTTTCAGTGAAACCTTCAGCGTAATTTGGACCGCTTCATCGAAGGATTTCAAACCAAGTCCTCCGAGAACGATAGAGTACAAATATTAAAGAGATTCTGGGAACTTTCTGTTGTGTCGTTGCCATGGGAACAGCGAGAGCTTCGAGAATATAAATTTCATTCAAAAATGTTTCTCCCTGAAGTGGATGCTCGGTATAAATTTATAGTTGTGAACATTGGTGGATATGGTTGCTGGAGTGAATCAAGAATTTTCCATGATTCGTGATTTTGAGAAACCTTAAATTTACCAATGACAAAGCGCCACCCGGTAATGATGTTCCTTTGCCTCGTGTCTTTTTTTATTTATTTATTGACGATGCATTTCACCTCATGCGCAAATTGGTGATGCTTAACCCGCGGATATGCAATATTGCTGCAATCCAGCAAACTCTCAAGGAATAGGAATGACTTCTATTCCATGTAGCTCATGCTATTTCCTGAGAGGTATGGCACGCCTGCTGAGTAGAATTTTGCTGTCCGGCATTCCGTTAGAAATAGAACATGAGTTAGGCTGGATTGAACTTGAAGTTTTGCTGTCCGTTTACGTACTGCAGCCGTATACTTTCTGTAGTATGAAGCACCTGTATAGTAAGAGTGCATGCTCTGCCTAAGATTGTCCAGTACGCAATACGGTAAGAACATTTTACCCCGTCGATCCGCTGCTCTGACCTACGCTTCAAGTTACCTCGGCCTAAAACTCGATGTCTCTCGGGCTATAAATTTTTCGCCCATAGGTCAGGCGAAAGGACTCAAGAGATCGCCCCCACGTGGCGAGAGTTGGTAACTGCGATGTACACATTACATCGCAGGCCAAGAATCTCTCCGTGGTGCCAATGGAGAGAACAGCGATTTGAGAAGGTTTTATTATATGTGGGATACAGAGGAAACTTCCGTTTCTGTCCCGGTTGTCTTGGGAGAACAGATGGATGTATCTCGGGATTCGAATGTACCTTTTCCTTCGTTGCTCTTTCTCCTCCTTGCCTGAATTGGTTAGGTTACGGAGCCTATCCTTAGCAAGTCTTATACGCGAGCTACATCATTCCTATGTAGGCGCTCCCTTGATTTTTGGGACTGGCAATCCCCTGAACTACAACTCCTATCCAATATGCAAACAATGAGCCTCGGATACTAACATCACGACCCTTAAATCACGCTGATGGAGGTAGTGGTCAGGATACATTTGCCAAAGGCTTCCCCCAGGATGATCTCCCTCTTCTCTATGGCAGTAAAAAGGATACTTTACCACCTCCTTCTTCCTCATAAATGTCCTAATTGTACGCGTTCCTTTTCCACCAGTTCCGGAATGTCCCTGATCGGAAGTGGGATCATCCTATCGAATATAGGTCTCACCAGGGTCAAAGAACGTTGGTCGCAAGAGGAGAAACTGGACTTCTCGCTGAATCTGAGATAAACCTACGCGACATTGGTCCCAACATAAACCAAAAACTCCACCATCTCTTCCCGCATCGCTCTATAGAAGCGATCAAGGGTAAGCGGAAGCAATCGCTGTGCAAAGACCACCTTCGCACATTATCATTCCCAACCTCTTTAGTAGATTGTAATGAACTAAAAGTTCATTACAATCTCAGACACAGCATTGGCCGTTGGTTGAGCATTTGAGTCTTTCGCATCGTCAAAGGCTTCAACGCAAGATTCTCATTCAGCCCTTCGCCGCATGGTTGTGTGCCAGGTATCCATCTCGATCGCCAATCTTCGACCTGAACGCCGAGGATTCCGCCTGATACGTGCCTTCACATTCTTGACAAGCTTAGCCGTGCGAACAGACCGTGGTCGGCCAGTATGCTTCCTGTCACTGACACCTCCAGTCTCATGACGCCCGAGAGTGCGATGAGCGGAATCTCGCTCGTAACCAAGTTGGAGTTGACGAAAGATGTTCCCTGGGCTTAGACCATTCTGGAATAGCTCAATCACAGCAGCACGCTTCAAGGCGTCCATAATGCAACAGGTAAAGCAATACAATATTGAAGTTTCACCCACGCTTACATACCAGTTGGATGGTACAAATGGGAAAATAAGATTGAGCTGAGCTATTTAGAACTTTGAGTGAGATATTATTGGCTCACCCTGTATATAACTGTGAATATGGTGCATATTTATAATTCAGTGACACCAAAATGTCGAGGTAAAACTTCGTTTTCCTTTAAAAACATTTTACATGAAGCATGTAAACAGCATGAATTTGTTCCATAAAAAAAAACTCAAAATTGAGAGGGTTAACCTTACAGTTCAAGAGTTGGCAAATAAACTAACTTTCTGGAACGTGTTTCAGGTTTTCCTGGGGATATTTGACAACAGAATAGATCATGCATTGGCTGACACGAGCCAATGAGCATTTTGGGTATGCGAATGAGGAAAATATGGTACCTCATTTTCATTAATTTTTAACAATAAAATTAATTAACATCAATATTTGGTACTTCTGCACCCGTACGGAATCATCAACGACCAGAGGTTGCAGAGCATGCTGGTTTATTCAACACCAAAAAAGAATGAAAGAAACAGAAGTTCCAGAGGCAGGAATTATTCTTCCTCGGGAATCTGGACGTAGTTGCCCCCTTCAACATCAGCAATTGCATCAGCAACTGCGTAAAGGAAAAGAAAGATGCACGAACGAATACAAACCATGCACACTTCATCGTACCTGAAAATATAATGAGCTATCAGGACAAAATGGAAATGAAAATGACATGATTCAAAAGTGCAATTCGGAATATTTGTGAACTTTTCGCTTTATCTTTGTGAAGGCTTAAAGAGATAAAATTCGCTATATCGTCGATGAGAAATTGATAGGAGAGTCAGCACATGGAGGAAAGAAGTAGATATTTGCTTTCATTCAGCATCTTAACATTAGTAAAAGATTGGAACAATCCATGCGGCTAAAAGCAGACTTTAAAAATCTGCCATTGAAAAACTGATAGGACTCCAGACGAATTCCTGAAATAGATAATAACCTAAAAGGAATGGTAGCTTAGATTAAAAAGGCAGTTTTTGAAATTTAATTACCAAGGATGTTCTACTTCATTTCTGTGTTTAAGTATTGATATGCTTGATAATTCACTCTATTGCGAACGAGTTTCACTAGCGGCACTTCCTGTAGGCCCCGATAAACGGACAATAATATTTGTGATCACTGAAAAGCGCGATGCTCTTTTAAAGATGTCAGAGCGTGACGTATAAGTAATAAAAGGGAAGCGGAAGGGCGACTCACTCGGGCAGCCGCCATTGTAGCATCTGCAACGGCCACCCCCTACATAGCAAACACCGTCCGTGCTGGGATATTGTTGACAACAAGCAATGACGCAATCGAGGCACCTAGAGCTGCAGCAGCAGTAAATAGTTCCAGGACAATTCTTTGCACCGAACACACTTGGGTCTAAAAATATATAGAAAAGAACATCCATGTCATGATGGGGGAGCTCTCAACTCCTCTTTCATGTCGCCAATTCCGAGCTTTCCATGTCAGTTATGCTTGCATGAGGGATAAATATCCAACACACCCAACTCTCCTCGAGATTGTAACGCAAAGGGAAACGTTTTCGACATGACATTGCAATGGTAACAACGAAAAATAATCAATTAATAAGAATTTTGGAGAAAGCTGTCATCTTTTAGCGTTTGGGAAGAAACTTATCAATAGGAAAAATAGTACCCAGAACTTTCCGGAAAAGTCGCAATGATAATGGCAGACATGCAATGTTGAAGCAGTGGAAAATGACTTACAAGCAACGGCGCAGAGCGCAGAGAGGGGGAAGAGAACGAGGAGGGCGAGGAGAACCTTCATTTGGCTCTGTCGTTTCCGAATGGATGTTTCGTCTGCTTGGGAGTGTAGCTGAAGATTTGATGTCGGGGTCACACGACCGAACTCGGCTTTTATAGTCCTGGAAATTTGAAGACGCATTTTCGTGGGAGGGAGATAATCGCGTCTCGGATCCGGATATTAGGAAAGGATGTTTATTGTTTGTGCGGAAAAGTAGATAAAAACACCGGAACGACGTAGAAATGACTCAATATGCGAACGTGGGATTTTGAAATGCAATATCTACGCCAGATTTTCGAAGGACGTACCACTTTTCCCTCCACACGTTTAAGCATGCATTCCACCGTTATGTGGCGACATTGATTAGAGTATGTCCACGGTATGACCCATACACTGAAGACGTGAAGAGTTACCAGCATGAGTTTCAAAGCCATTGTCATCCAATGTGCCTAGAAACGGTAAGACTCATGGAATTAACCTTTTTAATCAAATTCTTAGTGACCCCAGTGCTTAATATAAAGAACGCTTCATATTTTAAGAACATGCATGGAAAGTTTGTACATCATTATGGACCATTTATCTTCATGCATCCCATAAGCCTATGGGCTTCTATCCACCGACGAACGACGCAATTTATTCCAGCACTGAAGATGTCCTTTTTCATTCTACGCAGCTACTGTCGCACAATCTCCCTCACTTCGCTATCGTCCTGAAAATTTCGCCCACGTAATTCGTCCTTCGAGGCACCAAAAAGGTAACCATCAGAGGGTGCCAGGTCCGGGTCAGACTGAGGATGGGGCAGTACAGTCTATCCAAACGATATGGCCTTCGTGTTACGCAAGCTGGTGTGTAGGCGTGCAGTTGCACCTCAAACATGTATTTGTTGGCGTTGGCTGGTCGCACGCGACTTTATTACTTTCAAGATAGTGGCTGCATAACAAGGACTTCTACGATGCTGGAATACAGGGCGTTGTCCACCGATGCAAAAATGCCATTGACAGAGAAAGGAACCATATTTTAAAAAATTGTTGCGCGATGATGTACAGATTTCCCATGCAAGTTTAATATATTTTGCGAGTATCTGCGACGTAATTGTCTCAACATACGTTTTACAAAGACTCATGGGACTTGTGTCCTAGAAGGTCCGAGAGCGATAATACCTTCAAGTGTAGTAAAAATTAAAGAAATATCCTAGAAAACAGCGTCCCAGAATAAGTGCTTCCACCGCTAAAGTCGGCTTTTGCCAGAAGTGTGCAACCTCTCAAATACTTATGGCCGATTCGTTGAGACATTAAAATTATTGGAAATCAACAACCCTTCAATTTTCCCTCCACTTGCCATTTGTAGTAGAGTCCATAAGTTCCGGAACTTCTTTCTTTATGAAACTATAAGCCATATAACTATAAGGTTAATTTCAAACTTTTTGCATAAGCAAAACCATTATTGTGATTTTCTTGAACCTTGATGAAGGAAACATTCAATGAGGACGTACTCGAGGAAAACAGAATCTTTTTCCATGCAGTAATTGAATTCCGGAGTTCGTCCTTAATGCTAGGAAAGTGGATATGGTTATAGCACCATAACACTAGGGTTGGAAATGCTACATGTGCAAACCCACGAGTTGAAAACGTAAAAAAAGCAACAAAAAATTATTTATCCTTGTATAAGAGGGTTGTGCAACAGTAATGTCAGCCAATGCACAGTTATTTTTTCACATTTAGCACCTAAGATTGGGTTTTTAAAAAAAAGGTTGGAAAACATGTTTTTCGAACTTGGAAGAGGCAAGAATGGAAGACGGCACAGCAAGCAGCACCCTGGAAATGGGAGGCTTTTCATGGAAGTCTCTTCAACCTTACAATACCAACAAGAGAGATCCCCAAAACCGGAAATGTTATAAGAATGAACGACCAGGACAGGGCGAAAGAGGTTGCAAGGCTTTCTAAGGCTGATCCGACTGCATAATTGTCACGGAAACGTGAAATATCCACATATTGATATTAATGAGGATCTCACTAGCACGAGGGATCCCCACAAACCCTTCACACATCCACAACTGCAAGTTGCGACTCATATTACTCGGGGGGGGGGAATAGTTTCTCCCTCAGGAAATGCTGCCGACAGCATATTCTATTAATGCATATCGGCTGGGCCCAGCAATGACGAAGGAGAAGACCTAAGTAACTATGAAGTCGAGTGACTCCGAAATGATTGGAGCACGGGCAGGTGCCATTTGGGGAAGGACATCCAAATCCTCTGAGCATTCATTGGAGGGATCATTGATGCTCTTGCAGGGAATGTAATTGGAAAGGACGTCATCAAGCCACTAAACTACCCGACGAAAACATCCCAGCGCATCTGACTAAACAATTCTGCCGATCTGTTGACAGGATGGGGAATGGGGGCCCTTCCCCTCCTCTAGAATAAACATGGTATAATTTGTGCCGGTTCGTGAAAAAAAATATTGAGTAAAAAAAGTCAGGCATTACTTTTGTACCGACCCTCGTAGTGTCTAAGGCAAGACTTAGTATCAAACCATGAATTTTCACAAGAATATTTTCTAAAGAAAGACCTCCATTATACAATATTCCTCTTACCTCCGTCATGTCCCTGCAAGCTGTGAACAACGGAAATGAAACGCCATAGTTGCTTCCAAATGAAAGTCCAACTTGTTTCTTCCTTAGAAATTAGCCCGAATTTAAGAACGATGTGAGGGTTAAACTCTTTCATTGCAGAAATTGTTATCGCCTCAGTATAAGGAATACTTCTCAATCCAGCTGGATTTCCCCCCGAGTTTTGCAAGCACTCGGACCCAGGTGTGTGAATCTCATGGGCTTGTTTTCATTTCATTTCTAGATAAAGCCATTATCGGGGGGGGGGGGGGGGAGGATCCATCATAAATTTAATGTGTGAGGCAATAAAAAAAAAAACCGCCACTCTTTATTCTCTCAGGCGACGATGGCCAAAAAAGTAATCCAAACGTATTTCTAAGCATCCTTTGAGATTTATGAATTAATTGCTCTATTGACTCCAGCTATTCCATTAGGCATGTGATTTTACAAAAGCGTCAAGAATTTTGTTTCAGCACTCTCATCTGAACGCTGGACTGTGGAGGACCTGGCCGCTTGACTATACTCGTAGATAATCATCCCTCGCAAGAGGCATTTCCCGCCACACTTAATACTCCAATGGCCTAGTGTGCTCTGACAACATCTCTGGGACATGCTATTACGTCTAGCAATGTGAATATAAAGTTCCTGCAATTCTGGATTATCGAGATGAAGAGGATGTTACCCTTTTCAACATGAGAGCATTTTTCTGCAGCTTCAGCCCGGTTCGTTCCTCCTAGCAGAGAAATCTTCACGTTATTTTAGCTGTGTACTAGCATCCATTGTCATGTTTTCTGTTCGTTCACAAGGGTGTGCCACAAAACTTAGTCCAGCAGGAATCCCATTCTAGGATAAATATTAATCTCTTCAGGATAGGTTGGTTATAAATCCCTCTTGGGATGCATAATAATCCACTCAGGAGCAGTTACATATGAATCCCTTCAGAGGTAAATGTCAATCCTTTAATGAGTGGACTGAAAATCGCCGTGTGCCAGATGGCCGGATAAAAATAGAACCTCCCAGCTACATCTTTATCCGTCTTTCATAGTTTCTTATTAAACCGAAGGAAGGGATTTATACAAAGCCAATAAGGATAAACTGAAACGCTTGAAAAGGTTATTTGTAAAACCATTTCCAGAGGTTTCCTACAAACCCGGCCTCGGATTCACACGAGTCAGGTATAAATCCTGAAACTGTTAAATCACACGCCCTTTCGACTCGCAATGTACCCAAATGCTTCACCATGCAAGTCTATTCCCCCTCCTCCATCTGATCTGCCACATTTAACAATCGTTGCAACAAATGGAAGCAAACCCGTTCGCACTCGCGAAGGAATGCGACCGTTTGCATCTTCCCCCATCGACAGCGTTTTGAGCTCCGACAGATTTTCCAATGAGCTCGAATGGAACACCGTACCACGATCATGACAACAACTGTGCAGAAATTAACCTTTCTCCGCTTTGAAAGGAACAGCCAGGCAGTGCACAACAGAATTTTCCACATTTAAAGGGCCGTGTATAAGTTGGTGGTACGTGTATGTGCACCGTTCCCCGCGCAGCGTTAACAGCCTAATTCTTACAATAAAAACTTTTACCCGAGGAAAAACTGTGACTGTGTGAAACAGGTAAAAAAAAAATGTTTCTTTTTTTCCCTCTCTTAACCTGTCAGAAACCTTACTCATTCATGTCAAGATTAGGGGAAAAAGCGGTTAAATTCGGATGTACCAGGGAGTTACGTTTTGTGAGTATATCGCATAGCAGCTGGAGCAGCCCTACGCTACCCCATTTCAACCAGACTCTCGGGAATTACAACCTCAAGTTGCTCATTGGTGCGTGCACACCTATGCTGCCTCACAGTTAGGGTGCATAACATGGAGTTCTAATCACTTGGCTATTTATCTCATCCCACTTAGCCTTCGTCCGAGAGGCACAGGCTTGTCGGTCCACTTTTGTGGAACAACTGAGTTTTTCTTAGCGTGTGCTCTTCCACAAGTTGCGTCGTCTTTGGTCGTGAATAAATTAAAACCAGCGAGTTCCATCTTCAAATACCCTCACTTACACATTTTAGTTCATGGAATTTTGCTAGGCCATATTCAAGGAGTCTCGAACGTTCGTTGTTACAGAATATCATGTGATCTTTTTCGTATCGGTATGTTGAAACAGACGAAAAAACATGTTCTCCTCCAATATTTCTGATGTTGCATTACGTCAAGACATTTAATACTAAAACAAGAAGACTTGCTACGCCTCTCATTTGGATGAAACCGCACCATCGTTATTCCTCATCGCTAGGAAATTGGAGACGCAAAAAAAATATATTTCATTGCATAAGAGGATGAGATAAAGTAATGTCTGCTAATAGTTATTTTTCGCATATCGCACCTAAAATTGGGTAAAAATAAGGGTAGGCAAGCATGGAAGACGGCACAGCACCCTGAAGGGGGTGGATTTTTTGTGGAATAACTTTTATCGTACCACCACCAAAGGAAATACCAAAAACGGGAATTATTTTATGACTGAGTGACCAGAGGATACG